AAGGGACCTTGTAGGTCATCTAGTCCAACTCTAGTGAGTGAGGCTCAAGGATTAACAAAGTTGGAAGGGACCTTGTAGGTCATCTAGTCCAACCCGCTGCCCAAACAGGAGAGGAAGATCGGGGCGGGCGGAAAAAAAGAGCACTCAAGATGCGCGTCTTGGAACTGGAGGATGCCGAAAGTTTATGGGCGCCCTCCACGCCGTTGCAACCAGCAGACACTTAAACGTGCCTCGCTCGGCCGTGGCTTCGTTGTTTGAAGCTAATCTTTCCTTCTGCAACCTCTTTCCCTCCTTCCTCTTCTTCTTCTTCTTCTTCCCTTCCTTCCCGTTTTTGGCTTGGGCAAGAATCAAAATTGGCCCACGAACAGAAGCATCTTTTCTGAACTCGGTGACCATATATGATAAAATGCAGTTGTAAGCAAAGCTATTCTTGGCGTGTAAAACAAGGTCCTCAAACTTGGCAACTTTAAGACTTGTGGACTTCAACTCCCAGAATTCTCCAGCCAGCAGAGCTGGCTGGAGAATTCTGGGAGTTGAGGTCCACAAGTCTTAAAGTTGCCAAGTTTGGAGACCTCTGGTATAGAATAAAGAACAATTCCTCGGTGGAACAACTTCCTTGCAGAAGTTATGGAAGTTTTAAAGAAAAGATTGGACAGCCATTGGGCTGAAATGGTACGGGGAGTCCTCAACTTCTGGCCTCAATTGAGCTCCCAAATTTCTGCTGATATGGTCGTAAGTGTGAAAAGTGGTCCTATCTCATGTTTTCAGTGCCGTTGTAACACTGAACGGTCATTAAAATGAACGGTTATAAGTGGAGGACTGTGTAGGGATTCCTGCCCGAGCAGGGGGCTGGACTAGGAGACCTCTAAGGTCCCTTTCAACTCTGTTATTCTGTTTTTCGGTTTACATCGAATCATTCAACGTTTTCTTTCCCCTGGGAAGAGATATCGGCTGATCTCTGCATGTCCCGCACTCACCCTGAGAGCACCACAGCCCTGCCATGGATTTTCTCCCCCAAATATATTTTAAAGCTCAAAACATTATCCAATTCACCTGGCATTCGTTTCAATTATGCTGCCTTTTGACGTGATATATATGTTGATGGCAGCAAGATTACTTTATGCACAGGGCATTTCCATTTTTGGAAGAATAGCTGCAAAAATGGACGCCGTCAGCTGAGGTGGTGAAATTAACTGTTTTAATTAAAGAAAAATAAATAAATTACTTTTGCTTCTACTTGGAAATTGGACTTTGTGCTTGAGGTGGAAAAAAATGAAACTTTAATTTTGGGTTTTACTGAATAGATAGGTTTGTTGTTGTAGAAATTGTTACTTTATACTACTCTGTAAAAAATAAAAAGTTGAGGTTTGGTGCTATTATCTTATTTTACTGCACCAAAAGGAGTTGGAAGTCAATGCCTTTTCTTTCTTTTTTTCCTTTTTTCCTCTACTTTTGCCTTCCCTTTTCCCCCACTTCTCCCTCCTATTTATTTCTTAATGGCCACCATAAAGAAGCCGGCAACTGGATAAAGAATGTGCAGGAGGAAGAAGAAGGAGTCCTAAAACAAAAGTTTTTTTCTTGGTCGAACTGGGACCTTAAGGACATATTCAACACCTGGGAAAGTATTGGCTTTTTTCTGGACGCTACAATGTTCCCGATTGATGTTTTCAGCCGCGAAGAAAAGTGATGAAAAGGGAAAGTTACTCTCGCTCCCTTATGGAATTAACAAATGGACAAGGGAAACCTGCCTTTTGATAGGAGGTAAAACCTAAACTCCTTTGTTATAAGTGGGAAGGGAGAGGCTTGGAAAAAAAAATTTTACTCTAAGACTTTGCTGGAGGAGATGCCTTGAAGATAAAGAGAATAGAAATTAATTCTAAAAAAGATTTAAAGCACAGACAGGACGTTTTTTCTTTCCCTAATTTGACTTCACCCCTAGAAGAGAAATTGTAAAAAGAAGAAGTTTGTACTCTGCCTGGACTGTTTGATGATTACGGGATTTTGGGACTTTTGGGAACTGTTTTAAGTTTGGAAATAACTGATTGGCTTAACAATAAGAAGAGGATACAGAAAAAGAAGAAGAAACAGTTTAAAATGGCTCTATCGTATTTTTTTTCTATTTTATATTATAATAGCAATAGTACTTAGACTTATATACCTCTTCACAGTGTTTTACAGCCCTCTCTAAGCGGTTTACAGAGTCGGCCTCTTGCCCCCAACAACTTGGGTCCTCGTTTTACCGACTTCAGAAGGATGGAAGGATGAGTCAACCTGGAGCTCATTAGAATCCAACTGCTGACAGTGGGCAGAATTAGCCTGCAATACTGCATTCTAACCACTGTGCATCATGGAAGGAAGGGAGGGAGGGCAATAGCAATAGCACTTAGATTTATATACCACTTCGCAGTGCTTTCTAGCCCTCTCTAAGCACTTTATAGCATTAGCCTTTTGCCCCCAACAACCTGGGTCCTCATTTTACCACCTTGGAAGAATGGAAGGCTGAGTCAACTTTGAGCAGTTCAGGATTGAACTGCTGGCAGTGGCATTCTAAGCAGTGTGCATCGGATGGATGAAAGGAAGGAAGGAAGGAAGGAAGGAAGGAAGGAAGGAAGGAGGAAGGAAGGAAGGAAGGAAGGAAGGAAGGAAGGAAGGAAGGAAGGAAGGAAGGAAAATAGCAATAGCACTTACTTATATACCACTTCACTCAGAGTCAGCCTCTTGCCCCCAACAATCTGGGTCCCCATTATATCCACCTCAGAAGAATGGAAGGCGGAGTCAACTTTGAGCCAGTCAGGATTGAACTGCCAAACTATTGGCAGCTGGCGGTGGGCAGAATTAGTCTGAAATACTGCATTCTAACCACTGTGCCACCCCATGGCTCTAAACTTTTTTTTTTTAAGGGAAAAACAATTATGCAACGCTGGGAGCACTGAACCCCAACAGAGTTCCTTAACTGGGAAAGAGCACTTTGGTAACGACAGCCCCCCGGCTAGTCAGTTTCAAAAGCGAAGTGAAACCGATTGCGGGATTCCCCTGCTTGTATCAGCTGAGTTCCCAGGCTAAGCGGAGGCGGCCCCGTTGAGGTTTGGGATGGGAATGAATGCAGAAGTCCAGAACCTCAAGGAAAACGTTGCGGTGTTGGCAGCATGATTAATGCACGGAAAATTTGACAGGCCAGGAATTGTGGTCTGTCCGAAGGAGGGTTGGATGGATACATTCACCCTGTAGGTGCCACAGGGGTGGAAACTGATTGTGGCCCAATGTGAGCACCACTTAAATGAGCAGTCCTGCCTGAATACATTACCAGTAGTCCTCGACTTACAACAGTGCATTTAGTGATTGTTTGAAGTTACAAGTTGCCTCCAGAAATCGTGGATGCTCCATCACTGAAGGTTTTTAAGAAGAGACGAGAGGCAGTCACTTATCTGAAATAGTAGAGGTTCTCCTGCTTGAGCAGGGGGCTTGACTAGAAGACCTCCAGGGTCCCTTCAAGGTCATTCTAGTCTAGTCTAGTCTAATTCTGTTCTAATTTCCTCCCTCCCGCTTCCTCTTCCTCCTCCTTTTCCTCCTGCTTTCTGTTCTATTCTATTTTATTCTATTCTATTCTATTCTATTCTATTCTATTCTATTCTATTCTATTCTGCATTCCATTCTGTATTCCATTCTGCATTCTATTCTTTCCTATTCTGTTCTATTCTTCATCCCAATATTCTATTCTATTTTCTATTATATTCTTCATTCCATTATTCTATTCTATTCTATTTTCTATTATATTCTATTCTTCATCCCATCCTATCCTATCCTATCCTATCCTATCCTATTCTATTCTATTCTGCATTCCATTCTGTATTTCATTCTGCATTCTATTCTATTCTTTCCTATTCTGTTCTATTCTATTCTTCATCCCAATATTCTATTCTATTCTATTCTATTTTCTATTCTATTCTTCATTCCATTATTC